TTTTGGAGACTTAGTTTACACAAATTTTTGGGAGGGGGGTACCCCCGACGTCCCGGTTTGCCCCCCCCCCCTTGTGACTGTTCTAGATCCGCCACTGGTTGATCTTCCTCTTGTGAAGCCAGCTTGATGGTCCCATAAAACGGTTTATGGTTGCATATTAAAACTTGTAACTGATCTACAGTCTTATTTTATAAGTTAAATCCTTTTTTTAGGAATATTAATATTAATTTCAATTATTGACAAAATCACAAGCATTGTTTGCATTAATTTTTAACATTACGCGGCCTACTTGGTCTCAAATCATGTCATTGCATTTTCTTTGTCTTAAATATTGTTGGCCATTTGGGTTTCAATGTTTTTGTTTCCCATATTTATTTATTGTGTTGTATGCTTTTCGTATATAAAAAGAGGCTAAAATTGCAAAGCGTAATGTATTTAACTGTATTTTTAATTTTTAATATGTTATTAGGACTAGTTAGGGTAATTCAAAACCTAGTTTTTCAAAGCTTCGAAAACCTTGTGCTTCCTGCGTGATAAGTAAAAAACTACAAAATGTATGTACTTTTTCTAGATTTTGGCTTATAACTTATTAACAGTAAATTTTTTGTAACACTACTCAAATTTAATAATTAGAGTAGGTCTACATAAAATTTTCAACAATTTAAGCATGTAGTTTCCGATTTGTGTGTCAAATAGTTTTTGAGCTATGATTTTTCAAATATTACAAATGATTTTAAGTATTACAAAAATATACATATTTGTTCAGGGTTCAGGGTCGGCCACCAGAAATGGTTTAGTACCCATATTATGACAAAATTATTACAAACTGCTTTTGTAGTAAATTTCATTGGCATTCGTTTAATCACAAAGCTAATTCTGTACCTCCATCACTTTCTGACATCCATACAAATAATAATTTATGAATATCTAGATTGTTTATTCAACGAGTTGAAATAATTTTCTCTTACAACATGCGTATTAAGTGCTCACTATTTTTCCAAAGAATCTGTATCACCGAGCAGTTAGACAAGGAGTTGGAAAAACACATAAATTTGAAATTGGCCCCTTACCAGACCAGATGTCATTGTTTTTATGAAGGTGGGATTCGTAAAAGGGCCAGATCTTCATTATATGCCGCTTTCACCCCACTCCCGAAAGACATCCCTGCATCCCTGTTGATGAGACTACATTTGGTGTATTTTGGGGTATTGGATGGTGGATATCTTATTTCAATGTTATCTGGCATAGAAATTAGTATCCAGACAATAGTAGAGTCCTATATCACCTATACAATCAACCCTTTTGGGAGGAGCACGGTGGTGGTGTTTGATGGATACTCTGAAGATGGGGCCCTCAGTTACTAAAACAGCAGAACGATTGCGTCGCTTGGTACACTGTTCTGCAACGAGGTTGTGTTTGACACTTGGTCATCAAATTGCCTCAGGAGAGATTCTTGGCAAATGACTCCAACAAACGTCTTCTTATTGACCAACTGTGCTTTGCTTTCAGAAACGAGGGTATAGAAACGAAGATAGCGCAAGAGATGCAGACGGTTACATTACTAACACGGCTTTTGCAAAAAGTTGCATTACACATAAATGTGTTGATTATTGGAGAGGATGTCAATCTTCTAGTTCTCCTATGCGGTTTGGGCAAACGTTTCAATAATGTTTACTTTTAGAAAGCTAGCAGAGGTCAGTCCACTTTGATTCAGTTCTCCAGTTCTTCATTTGGCCATGAATACCTGGAACTGCCTGATGGAATCAAGTTGTTTATCCACGCATTCAGTGGATGCGATACAACGTCCGCTCTTTTCTGGCAAGGGAAACCCAATCTTTGGCTTGGCCATTTTACAGAAGAAAGGACATTTTGGAACTTGCAAAAGTGTTTCCCCTCCCAGACTCCAATCATAAAAACCATAAAAGAAACTAAGGAAAAGTGCCTAATTGCTGTGTGTGGCGGCAACACATTACACGATAAATTAGAAAACCTTTAGTTCTACTCGTTTGGAAAGGCAGCAGCCAGTGTTAAGGTAAACGTGTCACGTTTGTCCCCACCCCAAGATGCAGCTTCCTTCCACTCATTTTGAACATACCACCAAGTGCAAAGGTGGTTAGGGATTGAAAAGGATCCCACAGAGTGGGGTTGGTCAAAGAGCACTGTAGGATTGGTTCGAGTGACAAAAACATGTAGTCCAGCCCCATCTAACCTTCTGAAACTAATTTCATGTAGGTTCAAAATGGGATGCACGGGTACTTGCACATATCAGAAGGCTGGGTTCAGTATTATGTACTCCTTATTCTGCCAAGAACTGCAAAAATGCCCCATTACTATTGATTGAAGAGGATGAAGATGACCCTGACGATCATATACATCTTCGATGAGATCAAATGAGGAAATTTTTCTCATACAATGACTTTAGTGTCTAAAAAGCCAAAATACTAATCATTAGGATGTGTTATCATAATTCATCTTTAAATATAACTGTTAACCTTACATATATTTTTTTTATTCACTTTGTTTTCACAATTTAATAGTGGGGGAAATTAGTTCAACTAATTAAATAAAGAAAGTCTGGATATTCAGAAATTATTATTTCTATAGTTTTCAGAAAAGTGTTGGAGGTACAAACATAGCTTTGTGATTAAACTAAAGTCATTACAACTTACTAGGAAAGCAGTTTTTAAGAATGCTGCCATAATATGGGTATTAAACCATGTTTAGGGGTCGAAACCAGAAAAAATGTAAATTTTTGTATATACTTAATAAAATATATTTATAATATTTAAAAAATTAAAGCTCAGGCACTATTTGACAAACCAATGTGAAACTATGCTTAAATTGTTGGAAATAATTTCTACATAGTGTTAAGAAAAATATACTTGTTAATAGCTTATAAGCTGAAAAAAAAATACCCCCGCCGCAGCAAACCTGCTGACTAAGCAAATTTCCATTTGTCTGAATTGATTTTCAATTAAATTATTTAAATAACATTTGGTTTAACGAGTACCTAGGTTTGCTGCTACAAGGAAACCAATTAAGTGTATTTTTTTGGTAAAATATTAATAGCTGAGTATAAAATAAATAAATTTGCCAAGTTTGATCAAAATATATCCTTAAACATGCAAATTACAACATTTTACAATATTCTCCATAAGAATAACATGGGAATTTTAAATTTACAATTTTTTGAATTTTATCCATTACCAATAATTTATCAAAACACTTTGATATACTAACTGTTTCTTAAGCTCTTTAAAAAGGCCTAGAGATCATTTGGGAATTTTGTGTTTTGAGGGTCATAAAACTCCGATCCCATGGTCCAATTATGCTGGTTCGCGAACTCATTCAAGTTTATACCGCTTTGCACCTTAAAACCAAATTTCATCAAAATCGGACAAAAATTGTTCACGGATATCTTTAATTAACTTTTAATTGTAAAATTATAATGTACTTTTTCATTTTGATGTCCCTAGACGCCAAAAACACTATTCGTTCAAATTTTTATCTATTTTTTACTTTCTCCCCCTATACCATATATGGAGAAAGTATTGTTTTCATCAAAACTTTCGAGTTTGAGTTTTGAGTGGATATATTCGTTTTGGGTCCCCCTGGACCCAAAAAAGTGGTTTTCGAAGTGATGTCTGTGTGTGTGTGTGTGTCTGTGTGTCTGGATGTGTACAGAGCTAGAGACCACACCTGTGGTCCGATTTCGATGAAATTTGGTATGTAGGTTCTAATCTATGGTATCTCCAGGCGTTTTTTTCATTTTTTTGAAATTTTGATTTTTAATGGGGATTTTCCCATAAAAACCCATAAAAAACCGGAAAAATCGGATTTTCTCAAAAATGGCCCGAACGATTTTGATAAACATTTAGTATGTTGTAGCCCTTTAAATTCTGAACAAAATGGTACAAATCCCATTTGTGTAAAAATTACGGTTCAAAAGTTATGGTAAATTATGTTATTTTCCCATAAAAACCCAATAAAATAACGAAAAATAGGATTTTAGAAAAAAATCCGGTTTTATTTTAACATAGTATGTTATGGTCCTTAAAGTTTTGATAGTTTTTCATTTTTTAAAAATTTTAATTTTTAATGGGAATTTTCCCATAAAACCCCATAAAATAACGGAAAATATGATTTTCCCAAAAATGGCCCGAACGATTTTGATAAAAATTTAGTATGTTATAGTCCTTTATATTCTGAACAAAATGGTTTAAATCCCATTTCTGTAAAAATTACGGTTCAAAAGTTATTGTAAATTATGTCATTTTCCCATAAAACCCCCATAAAATAACAGAAAAATCGGATTTTCGCAAAAATGGCCTGAACGATTTTGATAAAAATTTAGCATGTTATAGTCCTTTAGATTCTGAACAAAATTGTACAAATCCCATTTGCGTATATTTACTCTCACCACTTACACATGATAAAAGGTCACATGATAAAGGTTGTTGACAAACATATGGGAGAAAGTATGTGTCAGAATGCTGATACCGTTTATTTATGTATGTTATACAGTAGACTCCCTCTTATCCGGACTGGCCTCGGGACCGAGGCCACTCCGGATAGCGGGTTTTCCGGTTAAACCTACGTCCCCAAAATCTCGTTAATTAAAACGGACCGTTTAAATACATACTCTATACAGTATTTGACTTAAAATTAGGAGAGCATTGTATATAGACACGCTATACTTAAATACTTTAATCACTGGTCTCAAAACTTTCCCATGAAAACAGTAGTTGTTTCAGTACTGCCCACTTCGTGCCGATCATGTCCGGTTAAACCGATGTGCTGATAAAAATTATCCGGATAAAGAGATGTCACTTCTACCGAGTGCAGTCCCGTTAATAAGTGTCCGGAAAAGAGGGAGTGTACTGTATATATATGAACGCGATAACTTGTGCCTAACCTTTTTATCAATCAATGTTTGATGAATTAATAACAATTTCTTATTTAAATTAAGAACGGTAATTGAGATTAACTTATTTTTTTAGGCCAATAATGTTGTACTGAGAGAACGAAGGCTGAACATAGCACCAGCTATTAAGAAGCAGGTAAGGCAAAACATTTAGTTACACCTGCACATTGTCTATTTTAGGAGTGAGTTAGAAAAACATCGATAGGCCTACTGTAAGTTGTGGAGAAATTTAAAATCTTAAGTTTATTTTAGTAGGGTGTTGATATAGTTATAACATATTTGGGTTGATAGCCTTCTGTTTCGAGTACTTTAACTATTTACAAGCTATACCCGTGCTTTGCAACGGGAAGAAAATGTGACCTAGAGAACTATTAAAGTGGTGCTGATGTGTGTTTTAAAATACAGCAACTCTATGATTTAGTTTGAAAATATAAACTGATTTAAAGTGTAAACCTACTTACTTTCAAACACCTACTTTTAATGTTGATAGATCCAAAAGAATATGACAACGTACCTTAGTGTAGCAATAGCATCAATTGCATCATATTGATGCTTCATGAATGACCTTAATTCTTCAATTTTAGTCAAGCCTCTTTACATGCAGCTTACTATATAAATTACAAAATGAAACTCTGAGCAATAAAAAAAACTTATAGACAACCTTTCTAAAACCAAACATAACCCTACTCAATCCACACAAACATTTTTTTCGAGTAAATAAACAAACACCAGTGCATTGTACTGACCAGCTGTTTCATTGACTAAATTAAATTAAATCATTTAACATTTGGAAGCATGCCAGGCGTAGCCCTTTGGAAATCAGCCTATGGGGCAGAGACCTCAGGAAATTCGTCCATATCAATACTTTTCGGCAAATCTACACACTCTAAGCTTCATTTTGATGTGCCATATGTCTACATTTTTATTTGGTAAATGGCCTTAACCGTTAACCCTCCAAGTGTCCATAGTTTAGGCCTTAATGTCCACCTATTTTTGGCGCATTTGCAAGGTTTTATTAAAACGGATCTGAGAAGCTTAAAACAATGTTAATTCTAATGTTCTATATACCATTTTGTTTGGAAAATCATGGGCTTCAATATCATACATAAAACATAAGGAATATTTGTTTCAAACAATTTTTTTAGGTAAAAAAAAATTATTTTGGAAAATATGAAAAACAAAATAAGTTTGCGCTCAATGAAATTGTATATAAATTATAGGCCTATAAATATTTGAAAATAGCCACTTTGTTCTAAATTTTATGAGGATTACAAATATCTTATCTTACTAATATTATAAATCTGAAAGTTTGTGAGTTTGTGTGTATGTTTGTGTGTATGTTTGTGTGTATGTTTGTGTGTGTGTTTGTTGCTCAATCACGCATAAACTACTGGACGGATTGGGCTGAAATTTGGCATGATGATAGCTCACATTCCCGATTAACATTAAAGCATATTCTTATCTCAAAAACCCATTCGGGCTCCGCCCCAGTGGCTCTGTAGTTCCCCATGTTAATCTTATGATTTTTCATATTTAAAAGGAATTAATGAATCTTTACAGCTGTTTCAATTAAACAAGTTGGTTCTGTTCTATGATGTGCAACAGCATAAAAGTTACAAGGATTACCAACAGGGTGCAGCACTATTCATTTTTTTTTTTATTTATGACAACAGCTAATTTCCAACCAAAAGGTGAGTGAGCGTAGCGAACGAACTTCAACCTGGAGGCGAGTTAGCGTAGCGAACGAGCTAACCTGAAGGCAAGTGAGCGCAGCGAACGAGCTCCAACCTAAAGGTGAGTGAGCGTAGCGAACGAACTTCAACCAGGACGTGAATGAGCCATGCGAATACTTATGAAGTTAAACGGGACGAAGCCCGCGGGTACAGCTAGTATAATAATATAAGGAAGTAGATTTGCAAATAAATAAGTTATGGGCAAAAAACAGATTTCAGTACATAGCGTTTAGCTAAGAATGCATAGCCTAACCATAGCTAGGAATCTGGCTGATAATTTACATCAATATCACTACCTACTTCTTCAGGATCATCAACCAGCACTTCAAAACCACTTAAATCTTCTTATAATGCACCACGTATATCTCTACTTTTGATTTTTAACACTAAAACAATGATAAACGTAATAAAACACATCAGTCATCGGTCCAAGGGTAATCTAGCTGTTTACAAATACACGCACGTCAGCTGTCTGCTACAATTACGATCGGCTCGGAGAACATACAGCGCTGAGACAGACCTCTGGAGAAAGCTTAGAATATTACGGAAAGAACGATACCTAACTCGATCCAGTTCAATCCGATTCAGTCAGTCATAGAGCCTTCGCCGTAAATGATGTCTGCGTGTCGAAAAATCGACAAGTAACACTACACAAAGTGTGCTGCTTGTCGAATTTTCGTCAAGTAACACTGGGAGGGTTAACATAAAATTTGATTGTATCACTTTAATAATATAATAGATAGGAGCAGTTTAATTTGTTTAACTAGCTGTTGAATAAATAAGACCAGATGGGCCAACATAGGCCCATTTAAAACCTAATACACATGGAAAATTTTTTTCAGTTGATCTTGAAAAGAAATATAGAAATCTAAATTATAAATAAAAACAACTCTAAACACACTTTGAACAAAAGAATTGCAATATATTTCGTCTAAGCCTTCTTCAGGAATACTAAAACAAAACAAATAATGTGTTTACCACTCAGTATCAGTTGGTTTAGTCAAATTCAAAAATACATATAATTTATATGGAGTAAAAAATAAAATTTTGATGAAAAGAAAAAAAGAAAAAAAATAGAAAGAAAAAATGTATAATACTATCTCAAATTTAGACCAGTTGGTGTTTTAGATTTAAGTATTAATTGACGAGCTTGCTCAAGCTGTCTTAATTTTATGTAGGGTATGATGCATCTTTAGCCAATTTTCTTATTTCTCTCAGTGAATAACACTTATTTATCATCAAAAGTAAGAAAATTGGGCAAAGATGCATCAGACATGAAATTAAGACAGCTAATCCAACCCCTTATCAGATGTTATTGCAAACCTCGATAAGAACCTTACATTGATTCAACCTTGATATGAATTATTATTTTATTCCTCATGATAGTCTTGTTATTGAGGTTCTAATGTAGGCCTATTATTTTTTTATTTTTTTTTCATAGCCATTCAGTCGTTCGTTTGAGACATCATCCCCTCCTCCTGCCACCCCTAATCTGTACTATTCACACAACGGGGTTCCATACACGTTCCACAATGGAATGGCTTTCTTCCCACCTACAGCTCACCAGCCAGCATTGACTGCAGTACCTTCCACAGACCCGTCAATCTTTCCACGTAAGTTTTCACCTACTTCTTTTAAATGTTAAAAGTTTAAACAATAGGCTACTTAAAATTATCATTAAATAGCTTCAGAGTCAAACTTGAATATATATACCTCAATAAAAGAAGCAAGTTAACAAGCTACTAGCTGACGAATCAAAGTTGGTTCTTTTCATTGTTACTACTACAACCAAAAATAACAGAAGCCCAAGTACAGATCCTTGGGAGATTCCACTAATTACGGGCATAAAAGAAGATATATCTTATCCCAAAACTACTTATTGTGTTTTATTCTATAAGTAAATGAAGTAACAAATAAATTTAGGCCTAGCACTATTCCTTGAGTGTTAAATAATTTTCTAAGGTTTCTACCAAAATTGCATGCAATACTTGATTGAATGCTTTGCTAAAATCACAGAATGTAATTTCAGCTAAATTCTTAGTCAAGAATCTTATGTAATAAGGCCTTTTTCTTAATCCAAACTGTTCTGTGCAAAGAAGTTGATTTGATTCAAAGTACAGTTTTATTTGGGGCCAATGGGGGGGAGGGATACCAAGGATAACTGAAAACCATGGTTAATCTAACATGATGTAAACATATATTACAAACCCATAAAAACCGCCTAATACTGTATTGTATTTAAATGGACATTATTGTGATAATATATTAGATTTTACATAATCAAAATACAATTAGCGCCATTACAATGGCGCAATCATGTTGTCATCCAGTTATAAAAACTGTAGTTTTTAAAATCACAGCTTGCACCAACAAACAAAAATGCCTAACACTGTACAGCAATAAATCACGTAAAGATCAGAACAAAAGAAAGTCTAGTAAGCTGGGCTGCTAGTCATAGGCAACTGCTACATGCTGTTTCAGAACAGAATAATGTTGATAAAAATATTAGATGACTGTAGTTATCTCATAGGAGAGTTCTTATAGGATTCAAGAACTTTTGACAGTATAGGAACAGTGGCAACAGGCCTATTAAATAGTCCTCCATATGAAAAACTATTTCTCATTATTTATTGTTCTAGCTCATTAATCCGCCATTGGAGGTTTTTTTGTAAAGCAAATATTTATCAATAGTAGGACTACCAGTAAATAAATGAAAACGGTGTGATAAATTGTACTATTTTTATTATTATTTCAGAGTTTGGACAACCTCAAAACGGCCCCCCAGCCTCATATGGAGCCCCTCTTCTAGTGCCTGCACCTATGTTTTTGCCACCTCAAAATTATCCTTACCAACCGATGCAGGTAACTTAAAAGCTGTTTTAGCGAATTTCCCCTATAGGGAATATTAGCAAATTTCCCCTATAGGGAATATTAGCAAATTTCCCCTATAGGGAATATTAGCAAATTTCCCCTATAGGGAATAAGCTATTACCGTAGTACTCATGGTAAGACCTGGACCCGGGACCGATTTACTTTTTCGTTTTGAAGTCCCTAGAGACCAAAAACACCGTTCAAATTCATGAATATTAAAACAACGATGAAACTACCTTTAAAATTAACGAACAAATATTAATCTCAGTTTGCATTAGATTGTAGAAAAATTCAATACCCTCCAAAGCACTATTATTCTGTCATTTTCTTCTCAGACCTAAGGATCGGTACGGTTGGCCGGAATATTGCTCTTGTTTTGCTTTAGAAATATAACCTAGATGCATTAGATCACCCCCCGGCCCGGTTTAGATCATTGATTAAATATAACTTAAGTCGACTTCTTATGACATTGTTAATTCAAACTTTTTTATGTCTAGTTCATGTTGGTGACACTGGACATTAGTTTTGACCACTTTTTGACGTAATTTTGTTTCTATTATTTTAGGGTTAGTTCTATGATGTGTGTTTTAATTTCTTGTAATATAAACCACAGACAACCTATTGTTGACGATTAGATCGTTTTATTTTGGATAAACTAGGTTTAAACATGGATAAAACATACTCCGTTAATAACAAGAATTGTTTTCAGTTAAACCAAAATGATGACAAACCTACTAAAGGAGTATGTTTAATCTATGGTATCACGTACTGTATGGAGTTCATGTTTTTGGGCCTGGAATTGAAATCAATGGCCATGTTTATTTTTTGCAGAAATGCTCGGTGGGTTGAGTTATTTTGTTTCAGTCCCAAGGCCACAAACGTGCATTTAAAAGTATAAAATTGCTAAAAGTGTTTAAGACAGCATTTTGTTAAGGCTAAACATAAACAAGTCAATTCTAAAAAAAAACTTGCAAGGATTCCAACAAGGAGTGGTATTCAAGCAATTAACTTAGGCCTATGGGCATTTAATAAAGGTTTGAAGGAAAGTAACTGTGACCACACTAGGGGGCGTAAAATTATTTGGGCCTAGGGGCGCAAAAACGCTAAATCCGGCCCTGATTGATGTCATATTGATGCAGGTTATCTATTTAACAGAATTCTAGATAAAACTATACGGTACGGTACTGTTTCTTAGTTGGTTTCCCCCAAACTCAAATAACTTGTTTCTAACATGTGACTTGGTTTTGGCGAATTTCCCATATAAGGAATATTAGCGAATTTCCCATACAGTAGACTGCCTCTCGTCTGGACTCCTCGGGACCGAGACCAGTCCGGATAACAGGTTTTCCGGTTAAATTTGCGTCCCCAAAAACTCGTTAAAACGGACTGTTTACTGTGATTTGCGACTTAAATTTAGGAGAGCATTGTTTTTAGACACGTGATCACTGGTCTCAAATCTTTCCCACAAGAACAGTTGTTTCAGTACTGCCCACTTCCTGCTGATCTAGTCGGGTTAAACCAACGTGCTGATAAAAATTGTCCGGTTAAAGAGATGTAATTTCCGCCGAGTGTAGTCCGGTTAAACCGATGTCTGGTTAAAAGGTTTTCGGATATGAGGGAGTATACTGTATAGGGAAGAAGCTATTACCGTAGTACTCATGGTAAGACCTGGACCTGGGACCAATTTACTTATTTTGTTTTGAGGTCCCTAGAGCCCAAAAACACCATCCGTTCGAATTCATATACAGTAGACTCCCTCTCATCCGGACACCTTTTAACCGGACATTGGTTTAACCGGACTAGATCGGCAGGAAGTGGGCGGTACTGTAACGACTGTTCTCGTGGGAAAGATTTGATACCAGTGATGTCTAAATACAATGCTCTCCTAAATTTAAGTCGAATATCACCGTAAACGGTTCATTTTATTGAGTTTTTGGGGACGTCGGCTTAACCGGAAAACCCGATATCCGGACTGGCCTCGGTACCGAGGAGTCCGGATAAGAGGGAGTCTACTGTATCTATATAATTAATACGCTGCATGAAACTTTGTGAACAATAAGGTTTTTTGTTTTAAGATTTTAAGATTAACCCCACACATTATTAGGCCTATATACAGAAATGTTCGTCTAGGTGTGAAGATTCGCAAACTGACCTAACATTTTTTAAAAAGCCCCTTGGGCTTTGTCCCAGTGGCTTTTAAAGTTCCAATGTTTTCTTTGTGAAGAACACATTAGCCTATTGTTTACATTATAAGCTGGATAATTCAATTTATTGCTGTTAATATTTTAGTCGCAATTTAAGGAAAAGTTTGCTACAAAGAATATTTAACATTTTTCTAGATTTAATAGTACCACTATATGTGTACATCTATGAAAACAGAAAAAAATTAATTCTCTATCCACTTATTGTATAATCTTCCTGGGCAAAGCCGGGTTTTGCTGCTAGTATTTATATATATAAATAAATGTGTCTGTTAGCACAATAATTCGAGCAAAAATGATCCAATTTTGATGAAATTGGGTATAAACATGTAAACCTACATTATTCAAACGAGTTCGCGAACCAGCATGATTGGACAATGGAAACGGTAGTTTATGGTGGCTTTTATGGGGTCAAAATCAGCTTTTCCCATTTTTGACCCTAAAAACATAACATTTTGCAATTTCTTTCCAAATCATTTTGTAGGGCTTAAAGAAGAAATAACTTTGTATATTGAAGCGTTGTTATGCACCTAATAGTTACAGAGAAAATTACAAAAAATTGTAAACTAAAAATTCCCATGTTATTTATATATGTAGAATAAAGTAAACTGTTGTTGTTTGCTTGTTTATGAACATATATTAATCAAATTTGGAAAATGCATTTATTTCATACTAAAAAATTTTTTACATTAACATAAAAAAAACAAAAAAACACTTTTACTCTCCCTGTTGCAGCAATCTAAGCAAACTAATGCTATTTAAATAGGGAATAAATGTGATATTTTAAAGGAAATATTACAGTGTAAATCCAATCAGGCAAATGGAAATTCGCTTAGTCTGCAGGTTTGCTGCGGCAAGGATATATATTTAAATTGTATCAAAAGGTTTATGAAAGGATGAACCTTACCACAGCATAATTTTGTTGAAAAAAGGGTTAATTGAAACTTAGGTATAAAAATACATAAATATTTCCTTGTTTCCTTAAGGATGTAAAATATTATCAAATTGTAATATGATATTGTTTCATAGGCTATTACAGTACTAAAATTCTTTATAACATTATATTTGTGTGTGTGAAAAATAGCTTAATTGCACATTACTGATGGTTCAAAATAAATTAGCTTAGATAATTTTTGTACATTCTTCTTTATTTGAAATGTCTTGTGAAGTACAACACACTTTTTGTTCTCTTTGAGGCTATTTGTGCTACTTGTTTGAGGCTATAACGACCACTTACACATTTTCTTCTGGAAATTACTACCTGATTTACTGGCAGTGACAGGGTCACACAATTTCAGCCACCTTATTTGAAATTAGCCATTACCTAAATTTGATGAAAACTTGGATCAATATCTACAAGTTTAATTCTTTATTTTCCAAAAAATCACACTAATTTTTCTTTATTTTGTAAGTTAAGAATAAGAAAAAGAACTTACTTTGAACTTCTATTTTTTAATTATTGACATATATCTCAATACATGAAATGATCAGATACAGAGAAAACCTTACAGAAATTTTAACAATTTTTTGGATGGGATGTGTGCAGTGTAGTGTTGGCAGTTACATGGCGGCAAGTGGATTGGTAGAGTCTCCCGCACAGTATCAACCGACTTATTTACTTGTTGACACTATGCCCGTCCCATACTAAGATTCTAGCTGTACAGGTACATCAAGGTTTGGCTCCTCTTTCACTCTTCTGCCTTTTTGAGTTCCACTTGCGTCCGTAGTGTTACATAGATCCGTTCATTGTTTAATTTTATGACTTATATTTTGGTAGTTAGAGTTTGTACGGTTGCAATGTGTGGCTTTGGACTCTCACATTGCGAGTATTGCACATTTGATTTCAATTTTTGTTGATCTTTCCTTGTGTTAGGTTTAGTGATGGGTCGATTCCAAAATTATTCGATTCCGATTCAGATTCCGATTCTGAAATTTGGGATTTGATTCTCGATTCCGGGTTCGATTCCGAATACCATGGTTCAGGATGACAAAAAGGTTTTTAGAAATTAATTATTAAATAAAACCCAAACATTATTAGAACGAAACACACAATTTTAATGAGGATAAACACAATAATAATAATAATAATACAATAACAGTGAAAGAAAACGAATGAACGTAAACCGTAAAATTAAACCTACAGCACATTTTTTCAAACATTTTTAACAATGACTTTTACTTTTAAATATAGGCCTAGAGCTTATAGGCCTACAAGTTTACAATTACCACTCAACGTGAACAAAACTGATTTAAAAAATAATTTTAAAGGTTTTTAGAAATTAATTATTAAAACCCAAACATTATTAGAACGAAACACACAATTTTAATGAGGATAAACACAATAATAATAATAATACAATAACGGTGAAAGAAAACGAATGAATGTAAACCGTAAAATTAAACCTACAGCACATTTTTTCAAACATTTTTAACAATGACTTTTACTTTTAAATATAGGCCTAGAGCTTATAGGCCTACAAGTTTACAATTACCACTCAACGTGAACAAAACTAATTTAAAAAATAATTTTAAAGGTTTTTAGAAATTAATTATTAAAACCCAAACATTATTAGAACGAAACACACAATTTTAATGAGGATAAACACAATAATAATAATAATACAATAACAGTGAAAGAAAGTGAATGAACGTAAACCGTAAAATTAAACCTACAGCACATTTTTTCAAAAATTTTTACAATGACTTTTACTTTTAAATATAGGCCTAGAGCTTATAGGCCTACAAGTTTACAATTACCACTCAATGTGAACAAAACTGATTTTAAATATA